CACTGCACTGTAAGCAATGTAATGACAAAAAGTCAAGGCAACAAATATGTTATGCTGCTTTAACTTAAGTTTCAACTACATGTTTAAGTTTTAAAAAGTTTAACTCAACATTTTTTGTTATTTCATCGATGAAAGTTGAGATGACTAGAAGTTCATTTGAGCCAATATAAAAATTTAAAGCAGACAGATTTTTAACATTACATAAAGATTCTTTAAAAATTGTAAAACATCAAGAAAGCAAATAAAATCTGATATAAAATTTTAATAAATGCTACAATATATACAATCTACAATATAACATAAACAATGCTAAAATGACATGATGAGAATAAAACAAGTTGGAAAGAAGACCTTAATTGTCATGAAGTAACTTAACAAATGAAAAACCCATTTATCACACATTTACATTCACTGTGAGAGGGCATAAATATGCCAATCCTCTCCTCTCAGCAGAAGCCAGCTGTGTGTTAATTCAGTTCTTTAGTGGAAAAGCTGTGCTGTTGTATATTCATTATAATGACAACATGGAGATGCTGTTTCCTTCTAACTTTCAGGGCAATATCATACACAATTTCCCCATTTTCCGCCATGTTGTTTAAATAGCAAATCCATTTGCACCACTTTGTGGACTCATAGGCGTTCTGGTCTAGAAAAGAGGTGTGTTAAGGCGCATTGTTGGCGCATTGCTATTTTGAGAAACTAAAATAGACTGTGCAATAGACCAGCTGAAAGCAGGTCTAAGGTTTGAGCAGAGCACGTTAGTTATGCGCCTCGCATACACATTGCTTAAAACACACAGGATGTACAGCAATAGGCAAATATCGTTACAAATTAAAAATAACTAATGGAATAAAGTAATAAAGTATTACTACCAATTACAAATGCCTTCTTCATCTCGGAAAGCTGTTTAAAAAGTTTTTTTTCATGACAATTTGCATTTGTATAATGTCATTATTATTAGCAGTATTATTTATTATATGCAAATTTATATTAGTTTTATTAAAAACAAGCTTAGATTTGTCTACATGTCGGGTGTTGGACCATATAAGTCATAGAACATGTGTGTTTGGACATAACTCAGTTTTTTTTAAACACACTTCATTATTATTCATTTATTAGTTTGCTGGAAATTAGAAATAGTTTTGAAACAAATCTTTTTGCATAACAAACTAAATTAATTATGTTGGCTAATGGATGTCTGTGCATACAACACCATTTCCTTATCTACGAAAGAAAGAGAAAGTGAAAGTAAAGGCTGATTGGAGGAGGCTCATTCTTTATCCTTGTGCTACAGATCTATTTAACTGTTTTCTCGCTAGTGAAGCCTTCAGTTTTTCCACTTACAATGTCCGCCATGTAAATAGCAAATGCGCCATGGCACGATGAAACTGACTCTTAAAGGGAATGGGAGATGAGACTCTGATTAGTTTCTTCTCAAAACACACCCTGAACTCATTAAGAGAATAAGCTCAAACCTGTTAGACCATGCACCACTGTGCAGAGTATTTATCTGTCCTTAAAACAGCGCAAGTGGATTCAGACATGCTCTTAATGCTTTTGCGCCCTATGATTTAGACTTTAGATTGTTAAAATAGAGCCCCCAAGGTCTAAGGCTTAAAACTATGTAGTACAAAAGAAGAAATGAGCTTCCTAATAGACACCTTACACACTAATAAGAGAGTCTGAAAGGATTTAAAATATATTGCATTGTGTAACTCGTGGAAATCTATGCTGACAATAAACTGGCCCCAAACTGGCTTAAAAAGCATTACAGTCAATAGATATAGTCAAAACATCACTTTGTCCTCATCCTGCCATCAAACCCCATCTCAGTGATTCCTCAGTCCTCTGTGCTCTTCCACACACACAGACCATCTGGAAGAGAAAGGATTGGGTCTCACACACTGGAGTCCAGTGTCTCTGTGCCTCAGGCTGTATCACAGGGCTGATGCTCACAGCCTCACTGTCACTTTCTGCACTGATGGCTGCTGTGATTGCCTGCAGGGCTCTGATCCAGACAATAGATTGTCAATATTATGTTTGTCACCCAATGTGTGTCAGTGAGCTTACACAGCGCCCGGTAAGGTCAGACCAAATTAATTCATTCCCTGACTCACTTTAGATGTTTATTTTAAAGTGAAAGATTTTAGCTCATATGGAAGTGAAATGTCTTTAATTTTGGGGGCATTGGAGTAATATCTTTGGCAGCACAAAATTTATTAAGAAATGTGTTTCGTTAAGAAAGGCTGCATTAAACTACAGTTAAGTCATGTAAAATGTTTTTTTAAAATGTTATTTTTTTCTTTAAACTTTATTAAATTTGTTGCCAATTTGTTACATAAAAAAATATATAAATATAAATATATATATATATATATATATATATATATATATATATATATATATATATAATATAAACAAAAAAACTACTCTAAACTGTAACACTATTTCATCAAATTGTAGTACAAATATTTTGACTGTATAATTATAATACAAACACAGCTTTGTTAAGCATTTTAAAATATTTGGACCAAATATTTGGATAATAGTGCATGCATGTCATGAATTTGCTATGATCCTGGAACATCATTTTTGGTCAAAGATGAGATTACGGGAGTTTTCCGGGAGAAATAACAAAATGGGAGGGTGGCGGAAATACAGGAAACTCTCGGGAGTGTTGGCAGGTATGGCATAATCCTAACACTAAGCCTAAACTTAACTGGTAAACATATCCCTTAATTATGATTGGCTGATTGGAATGTTGTTCCAGGACCAACATAGATGTTAATCCAGAAACATGTCCTACTTGGTGAAATCAGGTAAGCGAACAGTGTACATTTCCAAGTAAAACTTCAAGTCACATTAACTACAGAAAACCTGCTAGAGATACTTCAATGTCTGTCCCACTTTTCCATGTATTTAGAACCTCTGATTCATTTGTTCATTCCTTCATACCGTCCTGTCTTCAGTTGTTCAGGTTCGTTCAGCCTCAGCTGTCATACCACACATTGTTTGATGACTACAATCCACACTGGCCACTTCATCAGCTCTGCTTGGAGCGGTTGCTGAGCAGCACACTCAAACAGTCACTTTCTAAATCTGGGATGAGCCAGTCTGTCATCGAGGACAAGTCAAGCTTAGGAATCAAACATAGGAAAATGAATTCACTGGAACGGGTGTGAAAGGACAGGTGGTGTGAACAAGCATCCATGCAAAACCAGTCCGATGCCTCCACCAGTGAGCTCCACAAGTGTCATCATGCATCTTAACACAACGGCACAAAGACTCTCCAGTGCTAAAGACCAAAGAGGATAAAGATGTGAGCTGTGAGAAGCATCTAGGAACAGGAAGTTGTATGTAAACTAATCCAGCCTTGATTCATTCACAAATACATTGACAACATTTGTCAATATGCCAACGTACAGCAGGAGACGAAGTCGCCATGCCAACAGATCAAGAGGCCTGTGTGTGGATAATCTGATGAGTCAGGAAGAGCACTATGATTATGCTAATGCTAAAACTTGATAGCGGTCAGCCAACATAACCATCTGTCCCTGCTGAGGCTCACAGGGGAAACACTGAAGACAGACCGAAGCCTTCAAGACTCTCCCAGTGCCACTATAGAGGAAAAACACAATGGTCTGATCACAGAAACAATCGTGCATGTGTGTTTGTTTGCATGACATCACTGACAGTGAGTGATTTCCATGATAGATTCTGCTTTAGAAACACTGTACTCTTTCCAGAGGAACTCATGGACATACATGAACCTGTCCTCCATATCTATCACTTTGAGAAACTTAAACATGATGCTAAAATCAGATTATCTGCTAATTGTAAAAGGTTTTATCATTATTTGAGAAAACAGTAAAAAAAATGTAGGAATAGTTTATGATTTAATTTATTACAATTCTCTCCGATCACACAAAGGTTTTTTTTTTATTTATTTTTTTAAACCTTTTATTCAGATCTTAGGTTGTTTCGAAACACGAAACACTAGAGGACAGATAGTGTCAGTTCAACATTATGTCTAAAGCTGAGGGGTCATGACCCCCACCAGGGGTCGCCAGTGCTACTTAGAAGGTCACTAAGCCTACTTAATTATGATGAAACCAAATTTAGACCAAACTAAATAAAAATGTAAAAAGTTTTTGACAATTGAAGAATATTTTTTATAAAAAAAATCAAGAATCGCATACAAAGAATAAGAAAACTGAGAGAATAAAGAATAAAAGCTCTACTGCAAAAAAAGAAAGAAAACTTGAAACGTATAAGTGAAAGAATAAATGCATGGAAAACAGCTAATGCATTTTTAAACCCAAGTGATGAAACTGCACTGGTGAAAAGCACACTGATTAAATTAATCACAAATGAATAAATTCATGCATTAAGATAACAACTGTGAACAATGAACACACCTTACAATTAAAAATCAGTACTGGTGTGTCGAGTAATCTCCCATTATTCACCAGACCAGTTCAAATTTTTCTAGTATCGAGAAAATATCAAGTAGAGCCTCAAAAACTTCTTATCATTTACCTGCAAACATGTAGAAATCATAAACGGTTTGACTTCCTTTCTTAGTTGAAACTAAACTAAATGGGGTCCAAACATCTTGTGTTATATAAAGAGAGAGAAAAATCTAGCTATGTACATTAAATAACAACTCATTTTAGGATAAATGATTCCTATAATAACTCATTCAGAAATCTGACAACCAACAACTAATTACTAATACTCTAAAAATTGTCTAAAATTTTTTCAAAAAACATCTCTTTAAAAACATTTGTTAAAACACACACTGCAGCATAATTATTATGATAATACAGCTATAGGCCACTTATGTTTAGGTTAGGTTAACCTAATAGCTGGAGTCAAATGATTTCTGATGTTGAATGTAAAAAAAAAAGAGAAAAAAAGTACAAAGTAAGCTTAGTTGCAGAAAGAAAGAAAGAACAGAGACTTGTCATGCATATTATGCTCAACCACTGAGCCCTTACCTTATCAAAGAACTCATAGAGTTGAACAGTCTTGTCTATTTTATCCTTGGTGTCCTCCACTCGCTGAGAGAAATCCCGCAGATGCACCCAGAATGAACGTACTTTCACCTCATACACTTGCAGCTCTGCAGAGGAGACGTCTTCCCACTTCTCTAAACGCTTGAGGAGAGCTTCACCACTCTTACAGTGTTCCTGAACACACACACACACACACACACCCCGAATTACACACTCAACTGGTATGAAAGCAGAGGGTGCGACTGAGGTGACTACATTTAAACAGCGATAACCGCTCTTGAAGCCCATGTTGACACAATTAAATAAATGTTTAACTCCCGCAGTAAAATATCACCTCTCAGTCCAAATAAAACTATTATGAGCCATTTGTTAAGAAAATCTGATGAGGGTAAAAGTTGTCTGCAAAAAGTGTGGTAAGAGTTGACGTACATATGCAGCTGTGTAAAATTCTCTGAAGATGCTCTGCTTATGATGTAACTGCTCCAAGGAATCCTCCAGCTCGCTCAGCGTCTGCAGACGAGACTCTCCCACCTCTTCTATCCACTGACTAACCTACATACACACACAATCAACATATTACATACAATCAGTTGTGTAGACAACATATGTCAGTTATTCCTGCAACAGCCCAGCTTTATTCTGAGAATGGCTCATGACGTATTTATGCGTTTTGTTCTCGTGACAGTTGGATTTGGCAGTAGACTGAAACGTGAGCACACAAACACATCAATCTTATGGATGTTATTTGATACAGATGCTTGGGTGCTAAATTACACTTTCTCATGATGTGTGTGTGTGTGTGTGTGTGTGTGTGTGTATGTGTGTGTGTGTGTGTGTATGGCTAATCAGTTTCTCAGCAACTTCCGCTTTATCCACACCAACAGGATTTTTGCTGCTGGGCACATATGTCCATTAAAACAATTAGATGAATAAATCACCAGGACAGTGCTCAGCTAAGTGAGGCTGTTTGTGAGTCCGTGTGCACATAGACAGCAGTTCAGTATTCACGATTTTTCAAGTTTTAAATAAAAAAAAAGGCTTAAATATCTTAAAAAACACAAACTGGCCAGATATGCAGCAGAATCCACAGTTGAGAGAATACTTTGCAAATACAAATCAATGCAAATATTTTTTTCAAGCTTGTCTACTAATACATGTATCAACGTTACAATTATTTAATTAAACCAGGGGTTGTTTATTTCTAATTTATGCTTTCTTATTTACTTTTTTGATTTTCTTTTATACATGTAATTTTTTTGTGTTGTAATATGTTCTGGTAAAGTCATGGTTGTCCAAGAAATGGGACAATAAATTTTCAAACAAACAAAAAAATGTATTTCCATAATCAGATTTTTCTCATCACCAATTACTTTATAGGTAAAACTGTGATCTGTTAAATTCAAGGGTTCATTAAAATAACTAGATGAATTACATTAAATGGTGAGATGATGTATTTTAATAAATTATTAATATCCTTTATTTTTTAATATATTGTTCTTTGATTTTCAAGTTTAAATTAAAACAAAAACGTGTTTAAAAGTCCACATTAAACCTGTGATTCAATGAGTGCATATTTAAAGAAAACTAATCCTAATTCATAAACAAAATATTAAAATGTATCTATTTTTAGAGGAAGTATGAGACATAAAGGTAGAACAGACAATGAAGCATATTACTTATTAACAATAATATTATAGGATAAGTTTCAGATGCAACTCTTACAGTTACAGTCAACAGGGGTAACACTATAGAATAATTGTCCATTAGTTAAGCTTAGTTAATGTATATACTAACATTAATTAAGTATGACTAGCCACACACGGAATCTTTGCGCACAGAAATCTGCAGATTTTTAGCCCATCATTGAGTCTATGTATTTACTTGTGTAAATGTGTGTACATTTATATTAATTCAGTTTTTAAATTAATTTCAGTAATAATATTGACTAATATGAAAATGTTCATATGATTTTAAATAAGTGGATCTAATTCGAATTGCATTGTAAACATTAAAAAAAATTTAAAAAGGTGTTTTTTATATATATATTTAGTTTATAGTTATGATACTCCCAAAATTATTCCACATAAATCCGTCGTTTTTTTTTACAAACTTCTCAGCAGAAACAGCAAAAAATGTCCGCAGATTCTGTCTGGTCCCAAATATGACTAATTTTGTAAAGTTTTTATTAATGTATAATTACATCAACAGTTGTGGTTATTAGTGGTCAATGCACTGAGTGAACATGAACTAACAATGAACTAACATTATTTAACTTAAATAACATCAACAAATGTTAACAAAGATGAATAAATACCATGATAATGTATTATTAATTGCTTGTTCATGTTAGTAAATACACTAGCTAACATTTACTAATGAACTATCATTTTAAAGTGTTAACTCATTGGTCAATAGAGTTCAAAATTTAAACGTTAGTCCTCACCTCTTTGAATCCCTCCTCCAGGCTCTTAAACTCCATGATGAATTCCAGTTCCTGTGTGCATTTATTGGACAGCATCACCAGTCTGTGAACCAGCTCGTCCACTTGGTTATACAAACGGCCAGCACTTTCAATGGCATCTCTAAAACACACACCAACATGGTTTGCTTAGAATATTACATTCAGTCCACATATTGTCTTGTCCCTGAGAGAAACTCCAAGCAACTGAGCTGTGAAGAAGAAAAAACACTGACTCCAGGACTCGAATCTCATTGGCTAAGACATTTTGTTACAACAGTTATCTCATTGGCTAAAACAGAATGTATTGATTGGACGAGGCATTTCGAGATTGAATGTAATTGGATGGGCAAGTTTGCTTGAGTCATCTGAGTCATTTGGCAAAGGAACACAGTATGGAGCAGTGTTTGTGTGTGTATGTGTGTTGATGAGAAAGAAAAACACCATAAATGAGTGAAAACTACATGAGAAGTCATTGACTATGTTCTGATGTTTGCGCATGTAGAATATCATAAAAAGATGGATTGTGTGACCACATAACTGCGAGTTTACATGAATAAAGATGCATTTTCTGTATACGTTTATGAATGGGCAGTGGTGTGATGCACACTGTGCACAGCAGCAGAGCTTGATGTCTACTGGATGACTTCACCACTGCTGTAGTTCACTTACACAATACTGTATTGTGTTCTAGTCAAACATTTCCACATTTCCCCTCAACGATATGCCAACTTATTTACTCAAAAAGTCACCACTCTCTGATCCATACACAACACCCGTATCAATATTAACATTCAGAACTATTTTTTGAGGAGTGCCACATTCCTATTTCAACTAACAAAAGACTTAACGATGCAAGAAAGACTTATTAGAGCAGGCAGACATGTGGCACATGCATAACAACACAGCTACACTGAACTGTGCCCCCTGCTGTTAGATACTTGTACATGCAAAAACAAAATCACATGGCTCCATTATACTTTTTGTTTGAGTTTCACAGCACTATTCACTTTCAAAAAGAGTCACTAAATTCAAAAAGTCATTAAAATTACTTTTAATTTAGTAGAACTGTCCCTTTAAGGTATCAGTTGATGTAAGTGTAGTGTTGGAAAGAATTTCACTGTTACACACAATGAGAGGCATGTGGGGCAAATCGGTGACCTCAAAGTCAGTCCAAAACCCACCAATTATTCACAGCACACACCCAGAGCAAACACGGGTTATCACAGCAGGCAGGAGATATCAAAGACATTCTGGGAAGAGTGACGGAGAGAGATAAAAGTTGAAGATGGATTATGAACAATTAGAAACCTTTACTACCAGCTCAGTGAAGCATTCCATCATAGTAATGTGGATTGAAGGTCCATGGAATTAAATTACATTTTTAAGATGCTAGTTTCAGTCTGTTAGGATATCTATAAGCTAGTGTGCTCCAAAAACAGTGACAAAAATTACGTTTAGAAAATATAAAACTGATATAAACATGTAAAGCTTGAAGTTCGTCACTTCAGCCTAAATGGATCCACAATTTGTTCCACAAGACCTCATACTTTAATTTCTCATCAAATCTTAACCAATCAAATGCTCTCTAGTATCTGACATGCCCCACCCCATTCAAGATGTTTCTTATTTGTTTTTCATTTAATGCGCTTGAGCTGAACTATTCTCACTGCCAGAGTTGTGATAAAAACTAAACACCACTGGCTGTTTTTTAAAAAGGGGAGGAGCTACTGTGTCCCACCCTCTCTTCATTTTTCAGTAGAGATTATGTCAAACACTTAATAAAAAGTGACATTTCAAAGCACTTCATGTGACCTTTAATCAAATTTGGTATAAAAAAGTTAATTAACAAACTTAATTAAAAAAAACAATGTGATTGTGTTCTGAGTTTATTTTCCAAATGTAATAATAATGATAGACAAAAATAATCACTAAAAATAAAGCCATTTAATAGTGGTCATTATAATAATTTATTTTTATTTTTCTATATGTAATATGTAACTACATATTACTGTTAGACAAGGACTCCTGAGAAGATAGAAAAAAAGGAATAACAAGATTAAAACTTCTTATCGATAGCCATTTGGGGAAAAAACCCAGACAAACCAGCCACCTATAGGACCACCGATGAGCTTTAAAAAGTCAGTAAAAGACCAAGAGGTCAAAGTTCATTTTTGGGATCAAAAGGAAGTGTTAAAAAGACAAAGTCTAGACTGAAAAGGATTATGTGTGAGGGAAGAAGTCAATGTCACCAACACAGAAGAGGACACAAAAAGGCCGGATTTGTTGACTTATTGTTGAGCACTTTAGACTCAGTCACACCTGTGAGATTCAGTCCTTTGTGTGTCTGTCAGCATTCAGGAGATGAGTTTCTGTGTGAGCAACCCCAGACAGCTAAGGTCTCATTCTGCCATTTGTTAGACACCAAATAAGCAACTTCAAGATCATGCGCAGACTTTAAATGATAATTTCACCAGATTTGAAAGACTATAAATTGGGTAAACAAATTAGAAAGGCTAGCTTCTGCATCTTTAAATATTATATTTACCCTTTCGCAAAACCCAAACTTTAAGAATCATAACTTTAGAACCTATTAAAATTTATTGAACTCTTTGAAGATTTCCCACATGAAAAAACAGTCCAACCTCAAGTTGTCTGTCATCATTTTTGTAGATATGGTTTAATTTTATGGAATTTTGCATCAATAGCATGCATTTTAAGGATGATGAATTCACAATTCAGACCTAGTTTGGTGTGTGTGTCCATGTCCATAATTTAGACATACTGGTTCACAGAAATTGGTGGTCTCCTCTTTAATATATAGCTCAATAATACCAAACAAAACATCAAACTTAGCCACTAACATCCTGAAGAAAACTTTGGATCTTAAGGAGGTGAAACTCTATTTCTAAACTCTATGCAATCCCAGGCCTGGAAACTCAACATTGCCTCTTTTTATGAAAAAAGAGGGTAATAAATCATCCTCACTGCTTGAATATCACTAATAATTATTTATTTATTTGCATTTGTTTTCTACGATGTATTAATTAATACATTTTGGACTCACGGTGCAAAGTTTCTGAGATGAAGAAAACAGAAAAAAGTCTTAAGTGTGCAAGGACCTTAAGAGTAACCCAGCGAGTCTTTATCAGTGGAGACCCTCACAAACACCGACTAGAGTGTTTGTGTCTGAGCAGGAGGCTTTGAAAATGCCCTCTAGTAAGCCAGCGCAGACATGCCTGTGTGTTTTAAACAAAGTCAAACAGGAAGCAGCACCAGAGCCCTGCAGCATCCAAACTATAGCACCTTATCAGAGACAGACACATGTGCATATTAGTGTCTGTTTAGCTCTGAGATTATGTGTGCATGTTTGAGGATGAAATGATTGTGTGCAGATAAAGACATTTCTCTTGGCTCAGCGATGGGAAATAACATTCACACTCCCTCAACCTCCAGCTGAACCCAGCCCCGATCATCAGAGGCCTGAACATGCTCTCCCACGCTCTCAACACTGTTTTCCCTCTCGCTTTCATTATCCCTCTTGTTTGTCATTGTCAAACTGCTTTTATACTTCATGTAATTATATAATTAAGGTCAAAAACCTAGTTAGCTACCTCGTTGACTACCGCCTATGTTGGCTTCATCTTTGCTGAAATAAGACTTGATCAGTGGCTCATTTGTTATAGTAAAAATAGGCAGAAACTCACATAAAACACACAGACTTAACCCATCACTGGGAAGCACCCATACACACTCAGATGCACACACATACACTATGGACAATTTAGTTTATTCAATTCATCTGTACTGCATGCCTTTGGACTTGTGGGAGAAACGGGAGCACCCGGAGGAAACCTACGCCAACACAGGGAGAACAAGCTAACTCCACACTGAAATGCCAACTGACCCAGCCGAGACTTGAACCAGCAACCTTCTTGTTGTAAGGCAACTGTGCTAACCACTGAGCCACCTACCACACAAAATAGTCATTTATAGTTTAGTATAGTTTTGAAATGCAGTTTGAGTACTCAAAGAATTACATAAACTCTAATGTTTTAAAATTTGGGGCTATTTAAAGGACACATTAAAAACAATATAACTGACATTGAAGATTTTTACTTTGTTAAACAACTTTCCGAAAAAAAATCTGAAAAAAATTTGAAAAAGGCAGCAACTGTTTTCAACAGCAGCAAATCCAACTAAATCAATTTTGGGGCAGCAAATGAGCATATTTGAATGATTTCTGAAGAGTCATATGAGTGTTGATGCTGAAAATTCAGCTTTGCCAACAATTATTTTTTAATTAAGTAAAATAGAAAACATTTTTTTCCTTTTTTTAAATGTCCATTTTAATTTAGAGACTTATTTCACTATACCTACCATATATTTGACAAAGTAAAGGCAGTTTTAGTTATTTAAATTGATTTAAAGCTTTAGTAATCAACTTTCTTTTGTTTTTTCAATCATGTAGGATTCATCTTTTCAACTGTGGTTGTTGTCGTGCAATCTGGGATTGTAAAGGACACTGTGGGGGTGCAAAGTACACGTCATGCTGCCTTAAAATGTAAATGTTATTTTAGAAGCTGGCATGATTAAAGAGAGTTCACACAAAACTGAAAATTCCCTTTACTTGTTCCAAACCTGTTTAACACAAAAATTATTTTGAAGAAAGCTGGAAACCTGCAACCATTGACTTTCATAGCATTTTTTTGTTCTACTATGGAAGTCAACAGTAAAAATATTTTCAGCTTTCATCAAAATATCTTCTTTAGTGTTCAACAGAAGAAAGAAACTCAAAACGGTTTGAAACCACTTCAGGGTGAGTTATTAGTGAGTAAATGAAATATTTTGGGTGAACTATCCTCCTTTTGAAACAGCTTTATATTATTAGCTTTTCTCTTAGGTACGTGTGATTTGCGCAGTCAGTTACGGGTGTTGTCTGAACACTTATGCCTCACCTGTAGTCCTCTGTGAGACTAACGCTGGTCTCTTCTTTTCGTAAACGGGACAGAGCTGCTCCTCCCTCCAACTGTAGTCGCACCAGCCTGCTGTCCTCCAGAACCGTCCTCATCAGCTCTCTGTACTTACACAGTAAGAGTTGAGCCTCCTGCAAACACACACACAAACATTATTATAAAACACTCTTCTACAGCTGCACACATTCACACACACCTATTATTACACATACACATGTTATCTAGTGTTCTTACTGAGTAAAATCTGTCTATTCTCCAGCATAAACACACACACACACCCCATCATTATATTGCTGTCTTAAAAAACTACTTTGACACAACCAGTACAGTTATACATGCGGCTCCCGCAGCAAATACATTACCTGTACACACTCTCATACACCAAAGCATTCATTATTATTCATTAAGTGACATCTACACCCCGTTCAGCTCATGTTTGTACTCATTAAATGATAAAATGAGCTTAAGCCACAGAATGCTGTGTAATACACAAAACTGCCACACCTTCAGGTGTGTGCGCTTGTGTGGCTGTACTTGTAGCTAGCTTTTATTTATCTTCCTTGTCAACAATACAACACATGTCTTACATTCTACATACTGAACCTGGTGTGAATGCAGGATAATGACAAAGTGCTCAAAATAGAGACAAATGCACATGATCTTTAGTTTATACTGCATTTATAAATATAATTTCAACACAAACTACTCTTGGCAAAATAATACAGTTTCACTTTGCCACTGATATGACTTGAGTCAATTAAATATTATAACAACTTAAAATAACTTCTTGTTATTTTAACATTTTGAAATGCAATTTGTATCAGTGATGAGAAGTAAATTTAAGACATACTTGTATTTTTAAAAACTCAATTACTTAAATGAACACATATATGTTTAAATGATGGTGTACAAGTAATTCAAACATCACAAGCACTACTAATAAGTTCAAGAGTAAAACATTTAAACTAGTTTACATGACTTTATGCATGTTTACATTTCTCTACAAATGCCTAAACCTACTTGTGAGAATGATTCTTGCTAATAAACAAGACTTATACATTTGTAAATACATCTTAATTAAAATGTAAAGACATAATAGTGACTATAAGGGTTTTTTTCGAGTTGACGGTCTCTTTGTGTGTGTACCACCTATAAAAGCATCAATAATAGCTACCTAATGAAGCAGATGGTGGTTTTGCAACACTATGTGGAGGAGCCTTTAAGGAGCTAACAACAAAACGTTATATCAATGCCAAATAACATCAGGAACCTCAACAAAAGCAATGAAAAAGTGTTGAAAAAGTATGCCAAGTGATGAAAATCTCATAATTACAGTCATGCGTCTACACCCTAATTAGTGTGTGTGAAGTGGGATAAAACCGGAGAGCAATTACATGAATTACAAATGTCACTGGATGATTGTGTGTTTGTAAAAGTCTATTTGCAGTTTTATTCACTCAAAAGCATTAACTATCTTCATAGATGCTGTCTATTTAACTATTAAACGAAGTCAATAAAGTAGATAAGTGAGGTTTATTGGAAAGTATAGGGCAGAAAATAAATAAAGAACTGTGGTGAAAAGGCATGAAGAAGCAGGGACACAAGATTAATGACAAAGACGACAGACAAAGAAGAAACAGCAAAAAGATGAGAGCACAGGCTAAGACTTGTTCTGGTTTTCCATTCATTTAACATCTAAGCATCACTTTATCCATAGGAGGGGCTGTTTTAGCATTCAGCACAAAGTCAAGCAGAAATCCATACCCTCATCCACCGAACCCATTCAGCTCTTCAAATAAACCCTTGGTAAGTGATTTTAAAGATGGCTGCAGATAAACACTCCTCTGGGAGATCGTTATTTCTCTTGAGGCCCTGCTTTTTTTCCCTAGAAGCCTGTGGATAAAAAGGTCCTTCATGACCTCAGCTGACAGCCAGAGGTCAATTCAGTCAAAACCTTGACACACTAACCTCAACCACACACAAACTCAAGTCTATTTTGTCCAAACGTGACATCACTTCTAAATAGAAAAGTCTTTAAATGACTGTAACTGGACCCCAGTGCCACTGCTGTGCTACAGGGATACAGAAGTCCATTAGGCTCAGAATAGAAGACTTCAGTGCCATGGTGATGCCCTCCTGAGGCAGAGTTCAATGTCACACTGACGACTACAGGTGCTCATAAAAAGACTCCACAAGACATAACTACAGAGGTCATACTGGTTCACAGACGAAACTACCTGCAATATATACATCCCTGTAGCTCAAACAGAACAGCATGCTATTAGACTAGCTCCAAGTTCATGGGTTGGATTCTCAGAAAATGAAAGGAGTGAAAATATATACTTTGAATGCGATGTGAGCTCCTTTAGATAAAATTACTGTATATAAATGTAAATAGTTGTCTGATTTTTGATGGATTTGTGACTCCTTCATTGTCTGTGAATGTATTCAGTAGAGCTGTTTTAAAAGAAGTGATTTGTTAAATGTTGCTTTACCTCTGCTGTAGGGGGCAGCACTGTGGACTCCAGTTTGCTTATGGTGTTCTGAAGCAGGCTCACAGCATCTTCACAATGACTGGTCAACTGCTCCAACCTCTGAGATAGAGCAAAAAGAAATGTTTTATGGTATCTACAACAAAGAATTTGAAAAAATGCCAGATTTGTTATCAAATATATGCATATACAGTATATTTCTGCACAGTAAATTAATTATATCCTAATTTGTGTCAATATTCATGCATTGAAACCACTGAACACATGTTTTTATTATAATGTGGATGAACATTTCATTAATTGAACTGGTATGTAAATTTAATTTAAGGCTAGAATACACTACGGAAAAGATTTAAAAACATTAGGCCATCCTATAGGTCAACTCAAGACCATTTCAATGTGGTGATGTCATTGGCTAATGAACATTTCCTGCTTATTATCAAACTATTTCATATCTGTAACAAGAGGTAATTCGATCATAACTTGATGTTAAAACAGCCGTCATAGCATTACTTATCAATATGTGGCTCTTTTTGGATTCTCTGAAGCTATATAAATCAAAAATGTAAAGTAGGAAATACGTTGGGACCATGTTTTTGTTTACATCCCTCTAAGTAGTCTATAAAGATTACAGAAAATGTAGGCATCATACATCAAACCAGGGATTTTTAGACTGGGTCTGGGGTCTGCCCCATGGGTGTGCTAAGGGGTTTATGTAAATATTTGAAATAAAAAACATTACAAATTAAAAATAAATTACATTAAAGATAAGGAATATGTAATTAACATTTTTTCTTTAAAATCTAAATTCTAGACTGCAAATCAGGGTACAAAATCTGTGCCAAAACATTGGTATTCCAGCTTTCTGTACTATTCAAGATTGTGATTTTCTCACCATTCTAAAGCTGACCCAGCTGCTGTGTGCATAAGGGAAAGTGCCTTCAAACTCAGTGGGAAGCTGAGAAACGTCCACATGTTTATAGAGAGACTTGAGTGATGTCAGCAGCTCCACCTGACAGATAGCAAGAGAAAACAACACTCTTTAGGTCTCAATGGGGACAAACATGTATAACAGTGCTATCATAAACACTTTACATGCTGCAATGGCTGTTCTAATAGCATAGATAGATGCCTAGGGTAAATTATCTGTCCTGTTGTTGTGACATTCTCAACTGTCTCTTACACACTCTATCTCTATTTGTCAGGCATAAGTGGCATGTTAGTCCAGACACTTATGTAAAAATAGCCTTGTGTGTGTTGTTGGATGCTGTTTGTTTCTGAAAGGATGTCACTATATTCTGAAACAATCCTATTCAAACACATGTTATTAGAGGATGTTACTTGTTTACTTTGACACTAACTAGAAACTCTCAGTAAACTGACATTGTTCTCTAAAACCTGAAGATCAAAGCTGGCAGTTATCATTTCCTCTCCTATAAAGTAAACTATAGATTTACATTTCAGTTGTCCATCCTTCCTGCACAAATTAAATACAAATAAAACAACACCATTGTGAAGATATTGTAATTTTTACAGCTGTTGGGGTGTTACCATAACTGTAACGCCATGCTAAGTTACAGGTAGGTAATCAGTAGTAATTGTGCATTACCTGTATAGAAGAGGTTTTCTCCATGCGTAGAGCCAGATCTCTGTCGGCCAGCAGCAGTACAGTATGAATGCATCCCGGCATGGCTTCCTATAAAGATTGAATAGACTGTAAATCACAGACCTCACCATGAATTACAAACATTTTCTAGCTAAGCCAGAATTCACTGGTCCTGCTGATGAAAAAAAAAATTATATACAGTTACATGATTATGTTAACTGAATAAGGTTTTTAAAACATAATTTGGTAGACATTTTTAAAGATGTTACCAGGGTTTGACATTAACTTTTTTGATCAACCTTACTAGCTACCTGGCATTTTCACAAGCCACAATTTAGTTGTTAGGAGAATATATAATCTATGTATACATTTGACTTTGACATTCTAAAATTTCTTAATTTAAATTATATGTTATGTCCACATGCCTCCTCGTTAAATTAACTTTTTTGAGTGTTGTGTATGCTTGCTCAATGAGGATGAGCAAATGTGTTGTGGTTTCATAGTGACGTACTGCAACTAGTTTTATTTCACATGACTTTTTAGGGTTCAACACAAAGGATTTGCCAATTTTCTCCTAGCCACACCAAACTAATTAAATACCTTAATGCAAATATATAAATAATGTGTCAAAACAAGCAAAATATAGCAGTATACAAACATATCCAAAACTATACACAGTAGTCTTTCCTATCTAAAGGTCTCCGATCATCAGTTAACTATATATAAATGGAGAGTTAATCTATTATTAAAGCAATGTTATTGTAAAGGACAATAGTTAAACCATATTAATTAAAATAACTGTAAGCAAAAAAATATGTGAAAAACATTGTGTGTGCGATAATGAAGGGATGACCAGGCCCACACGGGTAATGTTAGGCATATTATATGTTCAGAAAATGGTTAAAGTAAAAACAGCAACCGCTGTTGCTTGCAAAATAATCCCAAGCTCTTAAAAGCAGCAGGACTGCGGGTGCACGAGCAACGCTTTTTTCATTGTATTTAAAAGAGAACCGATTGCACCCGCATTAGGTTGCTTCACGCAAGAAAACAAGACACGAGAGCTTTTAAGCTTTCATGCGCAGTACATCAGCTATGTGTGCGACACTAAAGCACTCGTCAGTCGCTTGTGTCTCACTGTGCACCTGATCATCCTCTCATTCAGTATTCACCTGCTTTCTTTTGCTTGCCCAAACTACAAATCAGTCGTGCAGCTTCTCGAAGAACACATTTGCACACATACTGACAAACGATCAAAACTCTAATCTTTAGTGACGAGCCAGCATTGTCAATTAAAAAATTATTTTCAACCAGCCAAAGTGGTTAGTGGGAGTCGCTGTCTAACCCGCCACAGCTGAAATCTACCGGGTGTTGGCGGGTGTCAATGTCAAGCCCTGGATGTTAATATCCACTTGTTAAGTGTGACGTCACGTGAAGCGGCTTCTGGGTCCAAGCGCTCTATTCAACTGAATGGGGAGACTCATGAAATGGTAATAATAAACGTTTACAAAGCGATTTAATGCTTTCGAAAATCACAATCACAGTATATATGTCCATGCCTAATATCCGATGGCCAGAAAGTGATGAATTTTTTAAAAATAGTTAAATTTTTGGTATTTGTTATGCAGCAAGCCCAGAGATTGTTGTGTACATTATGATTTTATATAAAATTAACTTTAATGTGTGATAGGAATAAAACATGATCATAAACGAATGATTTCTCCACTCAAATGAATGGCGGCTTGGACCCGAAAACAGTATTACATACGTCACAAACACGTCACCACTTAACAAGCGGATACATTGTATTCATACTATTAGAATATTTATTTAAAGTTGCGATGTACAGTAGCAACATATCTTTTCTTTTTTTATATTAGAATTTATATCCTGGTGTAACACTCAAAAAAAAAGAGAAAGAAAGGTAGAACAGGGATTTGGATTTATTTATTGGTCATTGAATAGGCGGATGTGGATTGCAGTCAGTTTTAAATGGGCAGGCTTAAGTGGATTAAATGTCTGTTAAACTTCAGTATATCTCAACAGAGAGAAAGTCGTTAGACTAGAAGATCTAGTTATAACATTATAATTAAGAATCACAAGGTAACACAAAGAAAATGTAACGTGCATGGATGAATCAATTACACGCATGTCATTCAATCAATAACATTTAGAGAACAGAAACTTCACTTAAAGCTGACTTTATGTATTTACGTCATTTAGCAAACTTTTTTTAAGAGTTACATAACCTAGCAGACGCATTTCTGTCATGTGCCTCATGAACCACATAAAAGGCTTCTGTCAGTGTTAATGAAATTAGCTGTATGGCCCATAACAAAAGAGCAGAAAAACAACACTGTAAAAGCAGACCAGAAGCTTATTATGCCAATTTGAGGACTGTTTTTCCTTGCATGTCATCATGCATACTGATCATGCACACATTATCTTGCCATCACAGCCACATCAGAACAGAAGGAAAAGAAAGCTCCGCTGGAATGAAATAATAGCATATTTACAGAGGAATGTTCCAGAAACATCAACAAACACTTCACGGATGAGACATATTTACTGCGGATATTAAATGCCTACTTACTGAGACACTGCAGTTTTATTTTTCACTTTGCATTTTAATAGTATTAAATTCAAGAATATATGAGAAGGTCGGGTCAGGTTTTTCCATGTCATGTGGGGGTTAAAAACTGAGGATGATGAATGTGTGGATTTTTACAACAAAACAAAATATTTTGGGATTATACCTTTTATTAGACTGATAAACTAAATCCAAAACTTACATCACAAGCCCAGCAACAACTCTCTCAATCCAAAATGTGAGATTTATTAAATATTTCTTTTCAGAAAAAGCAGATAAATTGACCACAGTAAACTATTGCCAGTATTGTAACATATTATATATCTTTCAAATAAATGTTTTTTAAATGTTTGATTTATCCAAAGAATCCTTGACAAAAACAGAACTGTTTATTAAGTAACATTGTTTTCAACATCAATTATAAAAAGTTTCTTGAGTATCAAGACACTTTAACATTAAGGAGTGAAGTAAAAAAAAAAAAAAGCTGAAAAAGACATTTTAAAATAATTTTTAAAATTCTTTATTTCAGTTCAATTTCATGTTTAAAGTACAAAATATTTATTTAATAAATTTACAAAATACTTTCACTGTACTTTGATAAATAAATGCCTTCTTGGTGGGCATAAAAAGTTTTTTTTTTTTTTTTTTTTAAACATAAAATTCATATTTTCCCCTAAATATTTCCCAGTAGTGGGTTGCAGCTGGAAGGGCATCTGCAGCATAAAACATATGCTAGATAAGTTGGCGGTTCATTCAGCTGTGGCGACCCCTGATGAGTAAAGGGACTAAGCTGTAGGAAATTGAATGAATGAATATCCCCTAAATATTTGAATGGTAGTGTAAACCATTCATTTATTTATTAACTTTCCTTTAGCTTAGTCCCATATTTATCTGAGTTTGCCATAGTATAATGAACAGCTTACTATTTCCAGCATATGTTTTATGCATCGGATGCACTTACAGCTGCAACTCACTGTTGGGAAACACCCATACACACTCATTCACACACACTCATAGACTATGGACGTGGGGGAAACCGGAGCACCTGGAGGAAACCCATGCTGGCATGGGGAGAACATGCAAACTCCTTACAGAAATGTTAACTGGCCGGGAATTAAACCAGTGACCTTCTTGCTGTGAGGCAATAGTGCACTGAAATGCCTCCACTAAGTGAAATGAAAAGACAAATTTATTTTCTAGTTAAGTTCCCACTTTGGAAATGTGACTCAAAACTGTCTCCTAAGGGAGGCGTTATTATACTATTGCCAAATCAGTTTATGAGGCAAAAGGAATCAATCAGTTCCTGGATTGGCTATGGTTTAAACCTATCTATTTGAATACAGAGGCCTGAGGGTAAAGTGCAATTGCCAGCTCAAAAGGACATCTAGAATAAGATGATAGTGTCAGTGGAGGGAGGAGAGCTGTGGCCATTCCCTAAGGACAGGTCACTAAAAGCCACCACATCTCATCTGTCAGTGTTAGCACTGACCCTCAATACACGAAAGGGTGTTCAAACACTTGACATTCACATAGTTGAGCAGTGCATCATGAGGAATCCCTAACACTCTTAGCAAAGCCACCTTTTCCACAAGACAGCACTTGTATGCTGTCCATCATGGATTAGAGATATGGATGGAAGATCAAAGAAAAGAATAAATAAAGGAAAGAATGGTGAGGGTGGGGGTTCTGCAGCTGCTCTACAGCTCAAATGAGACAATGAAAACATCACTAGAAGCCCTGTGATACTCAAACCAACACTGTCACTAAAAACATTCCTCAATTTGACTTGTATATTGCTCATTTTTTTATCTCTCTCTATCTCACTCGGGACGTTTAAATGGTGAAGTCAGCATTGGCATGCATCCCCTGTCTTTCAGAGCAGGGTAGGTTTTCTGGCAGGAGAAGAAAGCAGCATTAATCTGCATTAAGGTCCATGGCGCAGACTCTAGAGTCACTTCCATTAAATGTGCTTAGGGGTCATGTTCTTTGAGTATCTCTGTTGGATTATTTATTGCTTTCCTTACATCACTCAAGTAAATGACGGTGAGATAATTCAATCAGTACACTTGAGTACCATCTACAGTAGATGGCCACGCTAATGAGATAAAGCCCACTATAAACACTCCTTAAACGTGTAATGAAATTAACAGGTTATGTTTACTGCCACTTTGGACACCCTTGTAAAAAAAATCTTTATTTAATCATTGATATTAAATAACTACTGACTACAAACCATTTTATATCAGAAGCTTTCTGCAAAATAATCAATCCCAGATGGGAAGTCATGTGCTCTCTCTCTGACTCTTGCGTGTGTATCTCCTGTTGTATAACTGTGTGGAATGCAGCCTATTTATTTCCACAGCTGGTACATCACGGTTAATATTTATGATGTGTTGTTTATATTTGTCCTGTTTAGCCATTAACGATTGATTTTGATGATGTAAACTCTTCTCAAAGGTTTGATATGGTTTGCAAAGTTGTCTTGTGAACTCCCTAGTAGCAGATGTCTGATTGGAAGTTGGATTTAAAGATCAGGATTTATGGCACGCTTGCATTCCATTCAGTTTTGAAGCAAGTATGAGAGAGGAAACGCCTTGAGCATGTGAACATTGTGTGACAGTGTCTATTCGTGTGAGATTCTCTGAAGGATATTAATGAATGGTACACTGCATGCGTGTTTGTTATTGCAAATCATACTTTCAGGGTGTTCTTACCTGGAGGATGTTGAAGGCTTTGAAAAGGGCGGGAACAGGTGAACACCTGCGGGCATCCACCAGGACAGTCAATCCCAAAGCACTTACTTCCTTCCTGTGTGTCAAATCCAGGTCACATTTTTAGTGAAATACAGGTAAACAAATCTCATACACACTTGCTTGTTTTCCCTTAGCAACAGGTAGATAAATACATATTTAGAAAAGTATGTTGTCTAATAAATCACAGAGAAAACACATATCATTCAAATGTTTGAAGTGAAAATTCCCATTTACAATATAAATTAAATATTTTATTCATTCATAAATTGAACTGAACAGATCAAACCTGACTGTAAAGCCACTTGTAATATCAGATTGAATACATGTTTATATTAACATTTAAAATGTTAATTTAAAAAATCCTGAAAAAATGGATAAATTTTCACAAAACTATCAGGTAATTATTTAACATTGAAAATAATTTTATAAAATATAATAATAATATTGGAATGATTTCTGAGGGATCATACAAACATGAAAACTGGACAAATGGCTTGAGAAAAAAAAACGTAATTTATTTTAATAAAAATTCATTTCCAATTCCTTTTTTTAAATAAAGTCACGATATAATTACTGTATTTTTGATCAAATAATTACAGCAATGATTACTAAAAGAGTCTTATTTAAAAAACCTTACAGACTCCCTTTAACTTCCAATAAAGTGCATCTTGATTGGCAAATTTATTTTACCTGAGTGTACTGCAGAAATACACCATGATTCGCACTAGCTCTCCACTGTTGCAGTTTGGATTCAGCCAGACAGTGTTTCTCATTGTCACAGTGACCAAGGCATGGCCTGATTTATCTCTTGTTCCTGAAATTAATATTACAATATGAGCTTTTTGGTGATAATGATAGTACAACCTTGTTATTGGTGTCAGAAGCTCCTTACCAGTCAGGCAGAGCACACCTGAGCTTAGGACATCAGGATTTATGTCATGGGCCTTGCTCTTGACTGGTTGTGCTCTATGATCGACTGGTGGCTGTGGTGAAGGAACTGCTGAGGGGTCTTCACTCTCAGTTTTAGCAGACAGGTGGCAAACAGTGCTGTCTACTTTCTGACTGCATGCTGGAATATGAACATTGGTTGGAGTCAATACAACAAATGGCACTGATGCACACAAAAACATCTCAATTTAAACCCACTGGACTCACAACTGTGTAGTCAGTTAAGACAAAAATACACTATTTAGTAACTTTGATATGATCAGTGTTTACTTCAGTGTTTGCCATGCACTTGCTCACTCAAGCCTGATTTATACTTCTGCGTCAGGTGACCGGCGTAACCCACGGCGCATGTAACGCGCGTAGCTGTGCATTTATACTTCTGCGCACTGTCTCTGTCGGTCTGCATTAACACTTCCGAAACGCTAGTTGGCAGTGAGGTGTAAATGTTCCTCTGTGTCGAGTTTCCGAGTTTACTTTTTTGCATTTCCTGAACACTTCCGGGATGTACAAGTGGCTCAAACTCGCTCATTTAGAGTCAGGAACCGGCGGACGTGCAACAACTTTAACTATGAGGTAAAAACAAAACAAAACTTTCCATCCGGAGCTCCTTCACGGGACTCCACACTTGTAAACAATCGCTCGCGCGGCTCTCGGTCCCGCCCAGACTCGTCAGCGCTACCAACCCGACCAATCACAGAGCTTACGCTACGCGTCGTTGCGACGTATAGTTACATTTTTTGTATTGTATGTGATCTTGTAAACATCACTGTGACCTTGCTTTAAATTTAAAGTGTTTTTTGTAATTTATATTCCCCCTGGCATATTCTTTAGTTTGTCATTTTGTTTTGTTCTGTTCTCTACCCTTGTTGTTAAAGGTTTTGTACCTTTTCTGTATATTTTTGTATTCTTGTTGAACGCTTTAATAAAAAAAAAATAAAATAAAAAAAAAGAGAGAGGTGCACGTCAGTGACGGCGATAGCCACGGCGAAGGGCTATGCGTCAGCGCCGTAGCATACGCCGGTGTTTGACGCAGAAGTATAAATCAGCCTTTACTCTTATTCACTGAAGACACAGACTTTAAGATAGCTGACTAATAACTACAGTATATAGAAGCCTAAACCTCAAGAAAGCCCAACCTCTGGGTCATGAAGCACTAAGCTACTCGGGCTCGGAAAACAAAAAGGTCTTTTCACATGACAGACCTCTTTAAGCCACTCTTTGAATCTCCTACCGGCAACCGGCAATGTAAAGATGGCTGAAAGCAGCTCAACCCTAAATCACACAAACAGACTTCTTCCAGCTAATTTACAGCATTCCATGTATCATCCTGTGCGTCGATCCACAGGGCGGCTTGGATCTGTGCCCAATATACCTGACAGCACGATAGGGCACAGAGATAACTGGAGATCAGCTTCCGACAGTCATAAAACGAATGCTTTGCTTCGCTGCACTGCCACGCACTGCTGCTGCGGCGTAGAAAATAGATACTGAGATCAAAAACAGATGAGATGGAGTCCTGGGAATTCCAGGAGTCGTAAAACAGCTTGCACAAAGACAAGGAAAACAAGTATAAATTGCTCTGAAGCATAATCTGGCTGAGATTTGAGGTGGGATTTGAGCTGGAACAGTAGAAGTGTGCTTCTGATGAAAGAAGCCTAAACATAATGGAATGTTCTCCGGTTAGGTAAAAGCTACAATAAATTTGACAAATAGAGCAAAAATAGGCTTTTTAATCATTCTTTGTCTGTGCTTTTTCTCTGTTTCCTTGTCTACCTAACATCCTCTTTGCCAGAGAATGCTCACATTGAGAAAGCCGACCATATGAGCCCCCCTCAAGGAGCTGAGTGCTGCCCCAGACAGGGCAGAGCAGAGAGGGCCTTGGCTTCACACTCTTTTACCACAGTCTGGAGTCCATTCTGGCCATGGGCCATCTCCTCAGGCTTAAATTTTCATGCATTTCTTGCCTTTCTTTCTGATTTTCTTGTTTTTCTGATGTGGCTTTGGACACTCAACACTCAGACCATTAGGGAAATCTCTAAAACATGCTATTTATAATGAATATATTTCCATTCAGAAGATATGTTTATCATTATTACTGTATTAGACTGACTATGATTACATGCTGAATGTGCATAAAAATTATATACATGCCAGTTGTAAGTATTTTAAAGTGATAATTGATATGATCTAGCCAAGCGGTCACAAATAAAATATTGCTTACAAGCAGAAACTTACTTATGGAGCTTCTCAATAGCATACTATCTAGATCTTTAGTCAGTTTGTAAATTCATGTGTTACCCTTCTTTGCGTCTGTGTGCATGTGTGTGTGTGTGTGTGTGTGTGTGTGTGTCTTCCATCTGGGCAGCTCATCAGCTTTTACTTTCACAGGCTGAATTCTCATCAAAGTCCATACTGCTTTCAAAAATATTTTATAGATCTTAGAAAAGCTTTGTCCAAGGGTAATTTTCCGTTTAAGACTAAAAATACCCAAGTTAAACTCTCAAAAAATTGCTGACACATGAAGGTTTATGGTATTACTTTCTTAACCAAACAAAAGAGCAGACCAAAACTTAAACTTGAAACAATGGATTAAGAGTAGATCCTGAAATCCGCTGAAAAAATGAATATATAGGGAAAAGAATATTGTATAAAAATGACAAAATCAAAACAGGCAGATAAGCTTACAATTTATCCACTTAAAGATAACACAGTCTAGTAGTAAAACTGGAAAAAAAAATGTTTAGGGTTTGTGAACCACCCACTAGGACAGAGAGAATCAGATCCATCATAGTCAATCCACCACAACAAACACACCATCATTTCTTCTTTCTGCTGTTCCTGTCTTCAAAGAAATGCAACCCCCAGCCATTCTCTACTACTTAAACACTCCATCTATAACCCCGGACACACACACATAAACATCCACCTCTGCTTACCCCCTGCAATTTCAGAGGTCCCACAGAAGGAATTGTGCTCAGGGCCCACCCACCTCACCTCATCTCATATATCTTTCTTCACACCTGTAGCACACCTGAGCCAGGTGAACACATCCAAGGCAACCAAATCCTCTGGAAGAAGAGATGACACACTAGCAGAAACATCTGCTTAATTTTCAATGTGGCACCCTAATTAAAAATATATGACAGATCATCGTTCAACTATTTGGAAGAAAATAATAAGAAATTTAATGCTAAACTGTATTATGTGCAGACGAGCAACTCCTGAAATAGATTAACACTTCTCATCTGATTTAACTGCAACAAATGTCCAAAAATAGTTGAATCTAAATGAAAGTAGGATTGAGTTACTAAAGTACACAAAGCAGAAATCCAGCACATGACCCAGGCTTCTCTTCAGCTGTTTCCTTTCGCAGTTCAGATGTAAAATGGCGTCTGTCTTGGACGTTGTTCAGTGGAATTAATGTGCGTCTAAATTTGAAAACAAACTGTCTAGAGGCCGGAACATGACCTGCTACGAACCTGGTCCTTGTAAAGAACCCAGTCTAAGTAAAACCAGAGCCTCCCACGCTTCCCTTTCAGAACGAATAGAAAAGCAGCTCTATCAGGCCGTAGCACGGACCATTTGAGAGGCATTTGTAACCTGTCAAAAGGCCTAAATGTCGAAACACCGGAGCCAGTCAACTAATCTAGAGTAAATATACTAGGTGGACATGGCAATGAATGAATGATGATAAAAATGACTCACTGCAGTGAACAACTGCTGCAAACCACAAAGGCGGTTTGTTAAGCAGAACACAACTCATGCATGAAACACCATTTAGAAAAGTTAAACAAGGGGATTATAATGAACAGAAGTAAGGTATAGTGATTTAGGTAATAAAAATGTGAGGAAGATCATAGAAACTGTAGAAAGTGGGTTATGAATAAAGTAGAGGAATAAATTAGAAGGAAGGGAAGCAGGTCTTTTCTTCATCAGATGTGAAAATGGAAAAAAATCTTTGGATGCATCTAAAGCAGTTCAAAATTTAGATGCATCTGTTAAGGTGAAGAAACTGGATGGAGAACGGAAAATGGAAGGAAAAAGTAGGAGGGGTAAAAAGGGATAAAGTAAAGGTAAGCGGGATGGACTTTGGCAAAGATGACTCTACCTTGCTCTTCCTGCTGATGGAAGCTGGAGTCCATGTCTGCTTGCTGCTGATGCTCTTTTTGAGAGCCATTGACAGAAGAAGCAATCTCATCCTCTTGCCTTTTCTCCTCTGCCCCTTTTCCATCCTCCTCCTTTGTTATTTGCCCTTTTAGTTCAGTGGTAGGAGTGTCCTGAGCATGCATGTGTCCATTTGTGTTCGGGACATCAGAGGCTGGATCAAGCACTTCAGAGCATGCTGACTGGACTCTATTTTCAGAATTGCTGGTCACTATGGCCTCTTGCTCCCTCACAGTTTTGGCCTTGACCTCCTCTTCCTCCACCCCTTTTTCTTGAACACTGGTTTGTTTCTTCTCATCTGTTTCTACAGGGGAGCTGACCTCCTCCTGAACTTGCACGTCAGACTTGGGCGTAGCATCTACTAGACCTGTTTGTGAAGTCTCAACTTCCTCTTGCCTACACACTGCCACTACATCATTCTCATCAGTTTTGATTTCTGCCTCGCTACTGCTTTTCTTTTCTACCATTTCAGCCCCCTTACAAGGTGGCATTCCAGCTACGTTTTGTACTGCACGTTCTTCCTTTGTCTGAAGTTCCACCTCTGTCTGGTTGATTCTGTCCTCAGGAGACTCTGTCCCCACCTGACCCTGTGAAATGAGTGTAACTGGACTCTCCCCAGGCACTGTGGTGACAGAAACTAAGGCTACATGCTCACTATACAGAGCAGCTGTAACAGACCCACCATCTTCTTCTGCAATGGGACTTAAATCACCAACAGATTCATTCGTGTTATGAGAACTGCTACTGAATGTCTGATGGTCTTCTTTTATGGTAGGAAGATCATGCATTTGCTCAGATGGTGTATGGATGGGTTTGTGTATCTGATACAGGCTATTGCCTGTTTGATCAATCTGATTTTGCGAAGACACACTCTCAGCTACTGTCTCGGCAAGTGACGCTCTGTTGTTCTGTGAACCACAACTGCCTTCAAGATCACAATTAACTCTCAGCTCTTTAGATTCACATCTGACTTCTGCATAAGGATCTGACACAATGAGTTCAATATAAGCTGGAGAAACCTGTTCTGAGTTCTCCCTTTCCAAAACACAAGATAACATTTCAGTCTCTGGCTGTGATGTATTAATTACATTTATGTCTGCTTGCTCCACATGAACTGTTTTGCTGTTTGGTTGTGATGTACTTAGCGGCAGGTTGACAATATATGATGTGTCATTGGGGTTGCCCTCTGGTAAGGTTATGTTAACTGTTGTACATTCTGCTTGTGGTGTGTCAACTGGTTGGTTATCTGGTTGTGATGTGCTCACTAGTCCATTGTCTAGCTCAGTGGTTATTGGTTTGACATCAGCGTATCCATCTGGTTTAGCATCTTCACTGTAGAGTTGAGCAATGCTTACTGGTTTTAGGTCTGGCTGTGAGGTCTGGATGTGTTCATTGACTAGTTGTGACATGCTTGCTTGTTTGCTGTTTGGGTGTAATGTGCTTTCTAGTTGTGGTTGTGATGTCTTCACTGGCTCATTGTCTGGTGATATGCTGACTGGTTTGCTGTCTGTTTGAGAGACACTTTCTTGTTTGCTGTCTAATTGTGATGTTCTATCTATGTTGCCATCTAGTTGAGTTGTGCTCACTGATTTATTGTCTGGTTGTGGTGTACTAAATATCTCATTGACTAGTTGTGAAATGCTGACTTGTTTGCCATCTAGCTGTGAGTTGCTGACTGGGTTGCTGTCAAACTGAGACCTTTTTAGCGGTTCTGTGTCTGCCTGTGATGTCTTGACTGGCTCATTGTCTATTGAATTATTGACAGATTTGCTTTCTTGTTTGTCTTGTAATGTGCTAACTAGCTTACTGTCTAGTTGAGTTGGGCTTACTGATTTATTGTCTGGTTGTGGTGTACTAAATATCTCATTGACTAGCTGTGAAATGCTGACTTGTTTGCCATCTAGTTGTGAGTTGCTGACTGGTTTGCTATCAAACTGTGATATTCTTAGCAGTTCTGTGTCTGTCTGTGATGTCTTGACTGGCTCACTGTCTACTAATGTGTTGACAGATTTGCTTTCTTGTTTGTTGTCTTGTGATCCGCAAACTAGTTTTCTTTCTAGTTGAGTTGTGCTCACTGATTTATTGTCTGGTTGTGGTGTACTAAATATCTCATTGACTAGTTGTTTAATGCTGACTTGTTTGCTGCCTAGTTGTGAGTTGCTGACTGGTTTGCTGTCAAATTGAGATATTCTTAGTGATTCAGTGTCTGGCTGTGATGTCTTGACTGGCTCATTGTCAACAGATGTGTTGACAGATTTGCTTTCTTGTTTGTTGTGTTGTGATACACTAACTGGTTTGCTGTCTAGTTGAGTTGTGCTTACTGATTTATTGTCTGGTTGTGATGTCCTAAATGGCTCATTGACTGATGTGATGACTGGTTGGCTGTCTGGTTGTAATGTGCTTACTGGTTTGTGGTCTACATGAAATCTGCTTACTGGTTCACCATCTTGTGATGTCTTGACTGGTTCATTGACCAACTGTAATGTGCTGTCCGGTTGTGATGTGCTGACTGGTTTGTTGTCTACATTAGATGTGCTAACTGGTTCTACATCTAGTGATGTGCTATCAGGTTGTGATGTGCTGATTAGCTTGCTGTCAAGCTGAGATACGGTTAGTGGTTCAAGTTCTAGTTGAGACATACTTGATGGTTTCTGGTTAACATCTGGATGTGATGTGCAGTCCAAATTATCGTCTAATTGAGACATGCTCAATGATTCAGTATCTGTTTGTGATGTGTTCACTAGATTCTTGTCTAATTGTGATGTACTGTATGGTTCGCTGTCTTGTGATTTGCAGACTACATTGTTGTCTAGTTGTGATGTGTTGATTGGTTTAATGTCTGTTTGCGATATGTTAATTGTTGATATATCAGATAGTGAAGCATCCTCACAGTCAGAGTGTTGAGATAATAGCTCTCTCTCAGACTCATGCTCAGACACACTGTCAAAGGAAGCTGTACCTGCTGCACAGGCGGGTTCAGACATGTCCACCTGCTGGAGCGGACGCTCTGCCTCTGCAGGAGCAGTGGGAGTAAGGATCACTGTTTGGTAGGTATCACTCAGGCTTTCCTCGATCATCATGGCACACACCATGCTTTGAGAGCATGCACCATTCTTCAAAAGACTCTCATCTGGTTTGGTTTTAAGCTGAGTGGAAACAGGAGTCTGAGGTTTATGTAGATTTCTATAGTTCATGCTAATGGCTTGAGTAAGAGAGCCCTTTTGTGGGGAAAAGCGTGGTAAGGAGATATCAGCTAGCTCCACATATTCGCCCTCTGAATCGTCCGCAGTGCTGCTAGAGCTCCTCCCACTGATATCTTTATTAATCTCACTAAGAACAGGGAGGAGCTTAACTTCCTTGCTCTGACAATCCATATCCCCTGAATGGTTCGTGGAAGTGTCATAAAAAATTCTACATTGTATGTCCTCAGGATTGTTGTCTTGTTCTACATCAGAGTCTCGCCCGTCTCCATTTGCAACTTCTTTGGCAACCCTTCTACTTTCACTTTGTTCTGCAACTTTAGAGGGTCTGCTGATAAATTCCGGGTGAACAATATCCTCCCACGGTACCCTAAAAATATCATTATCCGCTGATAAAAGACAGTGTTCCAGGGCAGCTCTTCTGACCACACTCCTCTCCTGGTTGATGGAGTCCAGCCAGTCCATGGTGAATAGAGAGGTATATGCTAGCTCCGGCACGTCCAGCTCCTCCGCATGCTGCCCGGTAACAGCCAGACACTTCACTTTGATGCGCGGGGGGCTTTTGGCAGATGGTGTCACCTGCAAGTAGAAGTCGCTGGGCCGTAATACACGCCAGTCCAAAGAGGAGAGCTGGATTATGACCTTCTCATGGACACACAGTGGCCATCCTTCATGACGGAACAGAAAACCACAGTATGGGAACTGTAGAGAAAAGACAGAGACTCAGTCAGTCAGGCAATCAATTACTGTCTGTCTTTTATATAAAAAGCTTTTTTGGATATATAAATCTTTAAAAAATATTTTTACACTGCCGAGGCTCGAACAAGCGACCTTCTTGCTTGGAGGCGACAGTGCTAACCACTGAACCACCATGTCGCCTCTCAGATGCACAACTTAATATATTTAATAATTTGTTAATTCACAAGTCCACACCTTATTTTACACATACAGTACACAATTACATATACTCAAACACGTCTAGGAGGTAAAAAAGCATTGTACTATTAGAATGCAATTACAGTCCAGGCACAACACATCCTGATGCTATAAACAGTTAAAGTCAGAATTATTAGCCCCCCTGAATTATTAGCACCCCTGTTTATTTTTTTTTTCCTAATTTAGGTTTAACGGAGAGAAGATTTTTTTCAACACATTTCTAAACATAATCATTTGTAATAACTGATTAATATTATCTTTGCCATGATGACAGTAAATGATATTTTACTAGATATTTTTAAGGCACTTCTATTCAGCTTAAAGTGAAGCGGTATAAAGGCTAGGTTAATTAGATTAACTAGGCAGATTGGGGTAATTAATAGGCCCACACAGAATCTGTGTGCGTAGAATTCCGCAGATTTCTGCAGTTTTTCCGCCCATCATTAATTCTATTTATTTACTTGAATAAATGTGTGTAAATCTATATTTATTCAGTTTTTAAATTACAGTAATATTATTGACTAATGTCAAAATGTTCATCTGATTTATGTACTATGCAGTTTGTACGGTAATATTTTCTGTCTATTAGTAGATTGATTATATAAGAGAATTGCTTTGTTGACCAAAAATTGTGGATCTAATTGGATTTGCATTTTAAAAATTAAAAAAAAGTTAAAAAGATATTATTTTTTATTTCACACATTAAGGTTTTAGTTATGACACTCCCAAAATAATTCTGCAGAAATCCACAGATTTTTACCAAAATTCTTAGCAGAAATAGCAAAAAACGTTCGCAGATTCTGTCTGGCTCTAGTAATTAAACAAGTTATTGTATAATGATGGTTTGTTCTGTAGACTATCTGAAAAAAAAATTGCTTAAAGGGGTTATTTAATTAAAATTAAAAAATAATTAAATTAAAAACTGCTTTCATTCAAGCCGAAATAAAACAAATAAGACTTTTTCCAGAAAAAAAAAAAAAATATATCAGACATATGAAATTTCCTTGCCCTGTTAAACATTATTTGGGAAATATTTAAAACAAGAAAAAAATATTTAAAGGGGGGCTAATAATTCTGATATCAACTGTATATCCCATTTTGATCCAAGTAGAAAATAAGAAAATGTATGTCTTCTAAGAACATCTCAACATGTTGTTGTACATGTGCTTTGGGCAAATAAGCACCTTATTGCTTACAACTGTTCAATTTGGCCTACTCCCTAGGATTTTAAGAGAAATAGAAAAAACAACAATAAAAGTAATACATTTATTTAAATTAAATTAAATTTTACAATTATTTATTCGTTATTTATTATGCAAACGATTAAACAAAAGAACAAAATGCTGTCACACTTGCCTTATTTTAAAATTTAGTTTGAGTAATGCAATTCAGTGAATAATATAGATAATAAGATCAAGTAGACAGGGATTATAAAAGACTCCTTTTTCATAGAATTCATTGAGACAGTTTGGATATTTATTACAACCCTACTTCAGAAAGAGAGCGAGAGCCCTGGAGTCAATCTGTACCCTGAGTGAATTCTGTTTAATACAACACAATCGTACCAAGTATGAGAAAAGAAGGAGCCTTGGAGTCCTGAAACAACTCCAGTTCAGGAGATTGCTTCCTATATGCCTTGACAGTCAAATTACAGACTTTAATGCTGACCAAGTATTTGTAACTTGATGCAAACGTGCTTTCAGATATATACCAGTGATGAAATGAATATTCTGCTCAAGTTGACTTCGGACGGCTGAAAATGACCCGTTTCCTTTGAAAGGCAGAGAAGGGCAAGGGAGGAAGGAGGGTTGGATGTCCTTGTACTGAGGGTAAGAGGGGGTGAAAGGACTTTTTATACACAGACCTCTCAGTTCAAGCTTCTGTTTCCCATTATTATACCCTCATTCACCTTCAAGCTGTGGCCCCCACCACTGCGGATGAAGAGACAGACCTGGAGATACTCCACTGACCCCAGGTGCAGCAGGCAGCCGCTTTTCCCACAGTGTTCACGAGAGCAGAAATGCCCATACTCATACACACAAACTACAAAAACAGAGACACTAAAACGGGGTATAAATAAACTAGTAGGGGTCCTGTGAAAGGGTCTTTTGCCAGGTGCACACTGAAACCATTCCCGCTCTCCCCTGATGCTTGCTTTCAGTGCATGAAACATCACAGATTTTCCTTTGTGCGAAAGAGCAGAGCAGAGCAAAGATGATGGGTGCTTGTGAGGCCTCATTAGAGGGCTGGGCGATTTGGCCTAAAATCAAAATCTAGATAACTTGAACATTTTAACTTGATTACAATTAATTAACAATTACTTTATTTATTTATTTATTCATTTTTTCCATCTTATAGTTTACTGAAAAGTTTTGTATGGTAAATATGCTCACATATTACAGGTGAGAAAATTCTGAATGAAGCGTGCATTACTTGATATTAAAATGATTGAATGATCTACTCTTACACTGCCTTAAACCAACTGTCACTTTCTTCTTATAAATATGTGAAAATAAATAGCTTGCACTTTTGGAAACAAAATGAATTGTTTTCAATGCTTTTCTTATTAAAAGTATAAAATAAGCAGTATCTCTTCTAAACAAAATAACTCTGATATTCTGTAAATAATGCTTTAAGCAGTGCTTTCTTGCACCTTCTGTAAACCATAATAATTTTACTGTAATAAAACTATTGGAAAATATGCCATCTCAAGGCATCATCGTCAATGTAGTGCAAAGGTGCAACGTGGAGTTACATTTTAACAAGGCTTAAAATGTAACACCCATGTGTTCGATGCAGAAGTATAAATCAGCCTTAACAGAGTGGCCACGTGACTCCACATAGGAAGAGAGGGAAAAGTAATTGGAAAAAACTGACCTGAAAAATTAGATCAATTATAGGTTCTGAATGTCGATTTAGATCCCTTTTGATTAATCACCCAGCCCTACCTCATTGTTATCAGACGCATCAACAGTCCAAACTTGGACCTTTATTTACAAGTTAAATGTTTAATTTCAGTCTGATTAAAGAAATAATTCATCTTAATAAAATGAAAAACTTAAAAAGTACCAGTCTAATGTTTTGTAAAAATGAAAATCGCAAACATAATCAAGCAAAGCTACGACTGTCATGCACATCCTGTCAGGGAAGCATGGTGTGACCAACAGTAAATCTCCATCAAAGGCCAGAGGGAGCTCTTGTGCAGAAACCAATAAACACATACAAAGACGAAACCCAGGAAATCCACAAAGCAGTTGCTGAATCAACAGAAGATTTAACTGCTTTCATAGATTCAGCATGTCTAATAAATACATGACTACTAAATAATCTCATGTAAGAATTTATTTCAATCACTCAACTGAAGTTATAAAGTGAGTTTGGACTTAGCATTTACTACACAAAGCTGTAATTCCTCCTAATTCATTCATTCTGTAATTCAAAGCTGTAAGTCATTATCACAAAGAATCTTATCGTCCAACTGAACTGAATTCCATGTCAAAATCAAAGTTAGCGCACCTTATTGGTGGTTATGTGTAGTACTGATGCTCCATCTGAATGCTTAGCAAGAGGTTTACATGAACAGAGGTGAGCTCCAGTGAGGGGGAGCATGAGCTCTCGTTCTGCCTCCTGTAAGCTGTTTTAATGCGTACACCAACCCCACCCCTAACCCTACCCCCAGTGACATCACTCGTAGAAGAAGTGGAAAAAAGGTGGAGCTCAAGCTCAAGCTCCCCCTCGCTGGAGCTCAGCTCGCCCAAATGGCTCTGCAGCGAGCACCACTTGGACAAAATGGGCACGAAAATCACCAACAATTAACCTCCCCAACCTAAATATGATTTTAATAATGTATTTTCCTTTGCCCTAGTTCTTATATTTATTAGTAGTCGCCACAGTGGAATGAACCTCCAACTTATCCAGCATATGTTTTACACAGCGGATGCCCTTCCAGCTGCAACCCAGGAAACCCATGCCAACATGGGGTTCTCCAAGCTGCAGCTCAATTATGATGGCATGTCTTTTCAGCAGTATGAGTCTGTGTCCAACTCATGCAATTTCCTGTCCTCTGTTTGTCAAATACTCTATGCTGTGCGAGTAGCATATGGGGGTGTCACAAAGAAAACTGTAACCAAGACACCAGCAGCTGAAGCTGAGTGTAAAAAACATGTATGTGTTGACAGCTGTGTTGAGGATGCGTGTGTATGTGTATCTGTGTTGTGTGTGAGGCCCATAGCAAAGACCTATCTGGGAAAGATTTTAAAGCTCTACAGCACTAATAGGACTTCTGGGGGCTTCTTCTCAAATAACCAAAACAAGAAGCACTAACAAAAACAATCAGGCCCACTGGCTTGCTGTGCCTTGTGTTTCAATCATAGACTGTAAAAAATATGGACGTAGTGTCCGTGACGTCACCCATAGGTTTCTGAAGAGCGCAAATGAAGCTTACTGTAGGCGTGGTCAGCCGTCGCCATCTTGGAAGTGCGTCATTCCCGGATACTCGAAAATGGGCAGAGGCGGATCTTAGGCGGAGTTAAGATGACTGTTTGCTGAAACCATAGAGACCATCCCACCACCCGCGACATTTGAATCATTTGAACATCTCAGCGTACTATCGAGGTAAATTAACCTGAAACTACACAACAAAACTTAAAATAATAAATGTTGTTGATATTATTATGGCTCTCTGTGGCAAGCCGTTTTGACTTATTCTTAGGATATGCTTTATTGATTTCAACATTCAGCATTCATTATATTTCTTTCGTTTGAAATAACTGAATTGTTGATATCAACTATTTAATTGTTAACATCAAAAAGTATTCTTTATATAAAATTCTTAAATTAAATATTTTTTTATATCAACAATTAACAGTTGTATGTTCAATGTTGGCAGTTGATATTGTTTACTGGTTGAAATGTGATAAGTAATGCTAGTAAAATGTGACTTGGGTTTATTTACTAACACAATAATGTATTTATTAATAATAGTTCAACATTTAGTAATCCATTTAATTTGAGCTAGTTAACATTATCTAAAGTATTGTGAGTATAACATTTATATTGGAACAAAAGTATTAGTTAATATTAATACACACACACACACACACACACACTTCTCTCCCGCGATTTATTCAGAAATTTACTCCCACACCGTAAGAAATCTGGCCGGCTCCCGCGGAACAGCAGTTATACCCGATAGGTCCCGAGTCCGACAGGTACATTTTGATTGACAGCTTTATACAGCCCAAACCCGTTCACAGCCTACATTAAAATGTGCTCATGCACACAGCTCTAATGCATTTTTTTTAAGAATGAGTCATTTATATGTTTTAACATCATTTATTCGTAACAAGCGTAGACTATAGGCCACTTGAAAGTTGGAACAAAGAAATAAAATAAGTCCTACAGCTGTAACATCGTAACATCTCAGCGCTCTGGTCTAGGTACATGCACTTAGCCTTTAAATTATCCAACACACCAATGAAAAGTAATCTTGCTTAACAAATCAAATTAAAATAAACTCTAAATGATGACGGGTATTTTGGCAATAACGAAATTAAGATAAAGGCTGTGCAAGTTGTTTCTCCACTTCTCTTCACAATCTGGCATTAAGGCGGCGGTGAAGCTGAATAATAAAAGAATAATGCCACCATTAGTCTGTATACTCTGTCTACATTATGATTATATGGTTTAATTAATATTTATTTATAATTTAAAAACCCTTTACGCACCAAGATTAGGCTACGTGTGTTTGTGGAGGAACATTATTAAATCCACTGGCTTTAGCGCAGTCTCTCACTCATGGTGCGTCCAGCAGCTGAACACCCTTTCCTGCGGCTACAGGTCGAGATGCAGAGTTCTTATCCGGCTGATTTTGCAAGTTTTTGGTAGGATTGTTTGTTCATCTTCTACGGAAGCGTAGAGCTGCCACCCAGGTAAAAAAAAGAGCTTTATCACGTTTGTACAATATACTTTTCACGTTCTTACAATATAATATCACGTTTGTACAATATACTTTTCACGTTCTTACAATATAATATCACGTTTGTACAATATAATATCACGTTTGTACAATATAATATCACGTTTGTACAATATAATATCACGTTTGTACAATATACTTTTCACGTTCTTACAATATAATATCACGTTTGTACAATATAATATCACGTTTGTACAATATAATTTTACGTTTGTACAATATACTTTTCACGTTCTTACAATATAATATCACGTTTGTACAATATACTTTTCACGTTCTTACAATATAATATCACGTTTGTACAATATAATATCACGTTTGTACAATATACTTTTCACGTTCTTACAATATAATATCACGTTTGTACAATATAATATCACGTTTGTACAATATACTTTTCACGTTCCTACAATATAATATCACGTTTGTACAATATAATATCACGTTTGTACAATATTAGTAATCATTAAGCCAACTTTATTTTTGAAAAGCAGGCGCATATTACCGTTATCGTTTCAGATATCTTCTGGTTTAAGCCTGCAGCTAACATTACTCACAATATGAAGGATTTAATCCAGTAAATTTTAAAATAAAGTTCTAAATAATTAATTATTTAAGACATCATTGCATGCATTTATGTTTAACATTGTACTAGAATATCACTCACCGGAAAAAATGGAGACCCGTCTTGGACGGTCTGTTAGTACAATTAACTGCACAACAAGCCATATTATTTAATAAATGTAAGAAATAAAACCAACAAATTGAACAGACTGCATAAAACCATGTACAACTAAAGCACAAACACTGCAGAAGCCATATTCATTAGACGGAATTAGCAGACGTGACGCGACCACGCGGGCTAGCTGCAGCTGACAAACTGTCAATCACGGCTGTCACTCAAGTGACCACTCCCTTAATTATGCAAAAGAAAAAATCATTAATATAAACCAAACGAATAAGTTATAAAAAAATTCACCCCCCTCAGAGTTGTCATGAAGGGTAACGCTAGCTATATGCACTAAAACCATCAAATGTACCAGGCTTTAAACATGTTTTTATCAGCTGTAAAAAAGGCCAATTTCCCATTGCAGTCAGAAATGACCTGCACTTCCTGGAGCCAGCCCCCCAAGGCGAGTCGATGAATTGCAGTTTTAGTTACTTCCGTATTGGCTTCACGAGGGAGAGCGGGATGTTGCCGCTTGGTTTCAATGTGTGTATGTGTTCCAGGTACACACCCTCATGATGATTAATAATGAGTGGGGGCTCAGCTATCAAAACATGATATACAAAAAAAGACGTGACAAAACACATCCAGAGACTGGCAGAGAAAGCATGAACACACTACAGTCATAACTTTAATAATAAAACAAAAGGACTAAATGACTGAAGCTGTGAGTAAGAGAGAAGAAAAGAATGAAAGGGAAATGTGTCACTCACATCCTGTTGAATGCCTGTATATACATGTCTATGTCTTTTAAAAACCTAGATTTAGGGTTTCCGTTCGCTTGTAGCTGTATTTCTTAATTTATTTCAACATTTTTTATTATGATATATTTCAACTACACACAGTTATAATCAGATTTATTAGTCCCCCTGAATGATTAGCCCCCCTGTTTATTTTTTTCACCGATTTCTGTTTAACGGAGAGATTTTTACAACACCTTTCTAAACACAATAGTTTTAATAACTCATGTCTAATAACTGAATAATTTAAATTATTTCATTTTAATTATTTTAAATCATTTATATTTTTTGCCATGATGACAGTACATAATATTTTACAGGATATTTTTCGAGACACTTCTATACAGCTTAACTAGGTTAATTACTTTAACTAGGCAGGTTAGGGTAATTAGGCAAGTTATTGTATAACGATGGTTTATTCTGTAGAACATCGAAAAAAATGTAGCTTAAAGAGGCTAATAATTTTGACCTTAAACGGTGTTTAAAAAATTAAAAACTGAGCCGAAATAAAACAAATAAGACTTTCTCCAGAAGAAAAAATAATATCAGACATACTGTAAAAATGTCCTTGCTTTGTAAAATATAATTTGGGAAATATTTAAAAAAGGAAAAGAAAAAAACAAAAGGGGCTAATAATTCTGACTTCAACTGTACATTTTATTTTTATTTTTAATTAAAAAAGTAACAAATAAAGATCAAATATAATAGATAATAATAGAGAACACTCACGCATGCATCCTGCTGAATGCTCTGTAGGATGTGTTTAGCGGGCACCAGAAAGTCGATGATGTATCGCAGTCCGTCTCCACGGTATGTTGTCTCCACCACATCTAACACCTGGCACAGTACAGTGGCCGCAGTGGCTTCAAATGGAGGGTAGAGAGCGGACAGTGTGCTCTGGATACAGCTGTCCAGAGATTCAGAGTCCTGCAGAAAAACAACAAACCCTTAGAAGAAGAACTAGCTTAGCAACAGTACTGACATAAATACAATAGGATTTTTACTACTTATACACTTAATGAAGAAGCCAGATGACCTCAGTTAAGCTACAGATAATCCCCGCTGAATTAAAAGCAATGCGCTGCCCATCAGACCAATGAATGCATCTATATTCTTTTACATTTTCATCTTCCTTTAGGTCATAATTAATTCACTCATTAGTCCCTTTATTAATCTAGGGTCGCCACAGCGGAATGAACCGTACACTTATCCAGCATATGTTTTACGCAGTGGATGCCCTTCCAGCTGCAACCAATCACTGGGAAACATCCATACACACTCATACATTACAGACAATTTAGCCTACCCAATTCACCTGTAATGCAAGTCTTAAACTTGTGGGGGAAACCAGAGCACCCGGAGGAACTCCACGCGAACACAGAGAGAAAGTGCAAACTCCATACAGAAATGCCAACTGACCCAGCTGAGGCTCGAACCAGCAACCTTCTTGCTCTGAGGCAAACGTACTACCCACTGTGCCACTGTGCTGCCCTTAGATCATAATATTGCAGTTTAAGAAAAAGATTTCTAATAACACAAAAGTCCAAAGAGGGTTTTTCTCTATATCATTAAACACTGTTTTGAACTCCATCAAATGCCTTGATTGTACTGCGTAATTTTTAAAGAACGTCCACCACACAATATTCTGAGATCAAATTTTATGTTCAATGGGTACAATGGATGATTAAGATGTATTAGTAGTGTATGTTCAAGAGAAGCAGCCTTACAAATCTAATAAACTAGTACATATGCAATTTATTATTGCTTGTTTTTGACAATGCTCTTTGTATTTGGCAGTTGACATGAAAGAGAATTTAATTATTCACATAACAAACCATCTGACATTCAACAATCTTTGTGTGCGCTTTGTTTCTGTGAGTTTAAAAAACCATATATCAGGAATTAAACTGTTTTGCTTGCTGCTGGAGAAACTGAGGAACATGCTGTTAAGACACTGCCCTTGTCTAGAAAGGGGGTCGGGAACAAATCAGTGTTAATTTCGACAATGAAAATAAGGGCAAAAAACTATAACTAAACACAAACATAAACTTGACAGGTCATCTGTACTAGTAACTTGACTGAAAACTGTGAATATACATTTTCCAATCCAAAGAACAACGCATTATTGTTTGTTGTGAAAAGAGGCTAGAATAAAATGTAGCAAAAAAAAAAAAAATCTAAACATTTATTTTTGTTATAATTGCTTGTGCATTGATTACATTACTGTCACATTACTGGTGCAATTTGTTGACAGCAACCCTTTTTGATATAAAAAAAAAACTCAGAAAACTCAAAAAAAAGGGGCATTTACAGTATGGTAAAATAATCCATGAAATATTTTAAGCCAAAAAAAAACACAAAACTATAGACACTTTATTTTGAGACTTTATTACATTTTGTCACTCGACTCAGCCCTGTCAACAAACACACCAAGCTTTTTTTTCTGCTGCGTCCACACATGTCCTGTAAGCAGCTGATCAATTTCCCTGGTGGTTTTCATCAAGAGGCTTTCTCTCAAAGAAGTTCAGAGAAGAACAGTAACTGCCGGTGAAACCCGACTCTTATAGCCAGTGCAGGGAGCGACTAAAACTCTGCTAAAAATAACAGCTGCTCCTGTCACACTTTAAGAAGTAGGCCTCTAGCCTAGCTTGTGTCTGTTTGTGCTTCATAAGCATGATCTGATCTACTGCCAGCCACAACTTGGTGGTTGATCTTGTTCACAGTTGGTGATTGTTTAATCAAGGAATTAAGTACATGTAATCGCTTTTTCTCGCCGAATATATCCCCACAATCATTGAACCAATCTGTAATATGCAATTCTTCAACTAAAGGTTACAGAAACAAAAACAGCTAAATGCAGCCAACACTAATCTACTAATTGTTAAGTCACGAAATGGCAACAGTCAAAAAAATGGTAAGTACAGATGAAGGTTATTATAGTTAATGAAAATGAATGAAAAAACAAATAAAATATTAAATAATCTTCATTAACTGAAATAATAATAAAAAACTAAAGTTTTTTAAAAACCAGAACTAACTGAAACTGTATTGTGTACATACAAAACTAACTGAAACAAACTAAAATTATAGCAAAAACGTCCTTCTTTTTTGTCTTTGTAAATGTATTTAATACATAAGCCTACTGTAAGCCTTTTAAAAGTAAATCTATTTACTTTGCGCTGCCACGTGTTTGACCCGTAAGTCACCTTAGAGTAACCCTGATGCAATTGCCCAGATCAAGCCAGTCCTCCTCCGGTCTGTCCTTGCTGTTGCTCCCGTGATAAAAAAAATAAAATAAAATTGACTGGACATGACAGCAACACAATGACGGCATTAAATACGACCCAAGCCGAGACTTAAAGGATTAATGTAAAACATTTGTGCCCAATAATGGCTTTTTATTTCTGTATTAGTGATCTTGATCGCGAATGAATCGTTCATTTTAACAGAATCTTCTAAGTGAACTGGTTGAACTAGTTCACCAAATTGAACTGAATAATTTGAAATGATTCACTACTCCAGTAAGCACTCTTATCCACAAACTGCTTACTATTTAACATGCCTGTTACTACCTCTGACTTAAAATAAACCAATTTCCACAGTTATTAAGTTAGTAGAACAGTACAATGAGATCAGATTCAAGAAGCGGTGAACTGATAATACTGCACATATAATTAAAACTAAATTTGAAAACAAAAAGTCAAAACAAAATAAAAACTAAAACTATGAAAAATCTAAAACTATTATAACCTTGGTACAGATAAGCATATAAATATTTATATGACTGTATTTATTAGCAGTAAAGATTTGTAATACCCAGAAGAGACTGTCTAATTAGTTTCACTGGTTGTTGTCTGTGAATAACACACCTTTCATGTCATCACTGACCGGTCAGTACTAATCAGTATTGCTGTTAATTACATAACTAATGAGTTTACTGACTGACATTTGTAATTAAATGATTTTATTAAAAGTGCAAGAGATTGTAAATATGCTTGCATAGTTCAAACATCCTGTGCCCTCACTTCATTTCTTGCTGTAGTTTTTACACATCAGTAAATTAAACGTCCTAAACATTTTACAGCACAATAAAATGTACTATTGTAATATGAAAAAATACACAGTTGCTGTTTGTGAAGCAGGTATTTTTACATTCACCTCATTATTACATGTTTCTAAATTTACATACGCAGACTTTTTTTCTCATTTGTTTCTTTCATACAGTTTTATTGATTCTTGTCCATCCTTTACAGTAAAGTGCAGACAATAGTTTTTTTCTTTTTTCCATTTGCGCAGTGTTTTTTTTATTGGTAATAAAACTAGGCAAACATTTAAGTAGGCTATATGTACATTAGTTAAAAATTACTAATTATGCCTATATGTGTTTCAAACAATGATGTTTAATCAGTCGTTAAACATTTAGGAAATTCCTATAGGTTGGCATGACTTGTGCATCTGTCTTGGTCACGGACATCACACATTCTCCAGAATGACACAACACGTACTCTGACTTTAACAGGTCTCACCATGTGGTTTAATATGACCATCATTTCCTATTCTTTGTTAAACACATAATAGTTACTGTATCTTTTATTTATTATTTTTCATTCAAATGCTAAAAAAAACCCTCTAAATATAGCTCTACCCTACCAGCTTTCGCGCTATGTACTAACAATACCACTTACTGTATAGCTAAAGAAATCTATCTAGCACATCAAGTGGCTTTGGCATGTAGGCTAAAAGATATGCATAAGTCATTCACAGACTGCCTTAGAGAATCGTCTGTGTGTAATTACCTGTGCATGTGTGTTTGAGTGCGTACACAAGAGTAGATTTGAATCTGAGGTAAGATTGTACAGATATGGAAACCAAGGCAATGGTTGAAGTGAATATGTTTATGTTGAGAGAAAGAAAGATAAAGAGCATGGGAAAGAATGAACTAAAAAACAACATAGCACAGCTGAGAGCTAAGCTGATGCACAGGTGCACTTGGAGTAAATATTGTAATTCCACCAGCATTAAACAGAGGATGAGCGATTAGAAGTGTAGGAGGACTGAGAAAAACCTTCCTGCACACAAAACATTAAGCTTTAACACAAAACATTACAACAAAGTACCAGAAGGTTTTCCAACATGGGTATGAGGACCGACCGTCACACGAGATTATAAGGACACATTTAAAGGCAACAAAAATTCAGTTACATTTTTGGAAGAGGTTTAAGGAATAAAATGGCATTCTAATGGATAAAAACTCTTAAAAAATGAGATTTTATGTTGAATGTCCAAAGTTAGGCTACACAAGACGAAAACTGTAAACACTCAGCCCTCATAGGGTTATAATCACAAAGTATTTCAATTTAATGGTTGATAGAGTCCAGCAAAGATAAACACAATCATTTTCTCATTATAACTAACAGACTAAATTGGAGAAGCATGTCAACTGGGGCATTGCATCTTCCAAAATAACTATGAAAAGGGTTTGTTTGTACATATTTTAAAGACAAAACTGTAATGTAATGTGACCAAGCATTTAATCTGTAATCAAAACTGTAGTCTGAACAAACATCCTTTTGGGTGAACTTTTTGAAATGCTGTCTCTGAAAGTCAATACAGTTATTTATTAATTATAAACATTTCCTAAGTCTATCATTCATTCATTCTTTTTCTTTTCGGCTTGGTCCCTTTATTATTCTGGGGTTAAAACAGCAGAAAGAACCGCCATCTTATCCAGCATGTTTTTACGCAGTGGATGCCCTTCCAGCCGCAACCCATCTCTGGGAAACATCCACACACTCATTCACATTTATACACGAGTAAAAGAATATAATAAATGAAAATGTCTATGCATATAGACATATAATGTAATGCTGTGCAGTACATGTACATGTAATTTGCTTTTTTCAGTTGTCTCCATTTTAGTCGTTTTG